AAGGAATTAAAAAAGAGAGAGAGCAAATGTTCCTAAAACTGAAAGAACTGTTTGAAGAGACTACTGTTTTCAATGAAGGATATTTATAATAATAGTAAGTAATAATAAAAACAAAAAACAGAACCCACACAGCACAAGATGATTTGCGATAAGGAATTTCTAGTTTGTTCCATGAACAGTTTACACCTTCAGGCCCCCTCGGCAGGACGCGCAGAGGCAGGAAGACCGGTAACCACCATGCCTGTGCCACACACTACTGTAGACTGCTGATCTCTCATTAGCCTCAGCAACACTTAACGATATTTCATTAAGGCAGCCACCGCGGCCCTACTCATCTCCTAGCTGTACGTGGACAGAAATCTGAGCGTGCACGGTATCGTTTTGCCCGCTCGGAAGCGAGGTAAGGGGGCGGGATCCGGGGACAAGGCGCAGCGCGGTGGGGAGCCGAGTCCTCCCTTCTCGGAGCAGGTGTGTTCCTTCTGCTCAGACCAAACCAGTGGGCTTGCCTTAGTTTGCCAAATTCCCAAACTCTCTCTTCTTCTTCGCTCGATGTTTAAGTTTTGTTTTGCTGGTTCATCCTTCCTGAGAGAAAAGGAGTGCGCTTGCTTAGAAAAGGAAAGGAAAGGGGAGGGGAAGAAAAAAAAAAAAAAAGACGCGTCAAAGAAAAACACAGGCAAAAAGAGGCAACCAGTGGGGCGAGCTGGTTGGAAAAGCCTAGCCGTACTGGTTATATGCTGTAAATTTGAATCTAAGAACAGCAGCAAAAGGAAAACCTGCAAGTTTCGAAGTTGTATTTTTAAATTTGCAAGTTGTGTGGTAAGTCTGCTGTAGTAATGGTATAAGATTTTAATGGATTACTGCCTAGCTGAGCCAAAATGTTTGCCGTTACTGTTGGACCACTAAAGTAAACTGCTGCTTTTTACAGTGCATTGGTGTGTACATGTATACTGTTTCACATTTTCCATATGAACACAAAAGCATTGCAAGTCTATCACTGTTGTTGCCATGGTACTGTAAAAACAAAACCGAGAAAGAAGATGGCCGATCATTGTGTGTACAGTTTAAATTGTAATTAATAGAGCCTGTTGGAAAAAAAAAGCAAAACTGTTGCCTTTTTCTTGTACAAAAGAGGATTTATGACAAAATTTAGCTGTGAGGAATGTGATAAGTGTTTATATTTCTGAAAAATGGAACAAATTGATTCAGGGGAATATATTTTAATGTAAACTGAATCAGGTATGTAAAGCTGTTTTAAAATGGGAGACTATATAAGTAATTCTAAAGCTTTTGTTGGTTTGAATATCATTTCTTTCTTCATGGTGGGCCTGCTATGTATTATTAAGCACTTGTATGCAGTCTATGTTCTCCAGTCATCATTTCTTGCAACGTGCTATAGACATAATGCTCTTTTCTGTGTTGATGAGAAGCAGTATGTGGGCCAATCTTTTTTATAAAACACTATGCATATATGAATACTACATTGTTCATAGCTTTATTTGACTTATTGGGTTTATACATAACACTAGTATGAGTAGACGTGGACTTACCCAGTACGAGCTTCTTTCCTTGGAACAGACGCTATGTATATGATGTAGCAACAAAGAAGGAGAAAGTCTGTGAATGCTATTTTTATTATCAAATAAAGTTTTCCATACAAAGCATACATATGAGTGTAGTGATAAGATAAAGGAGGAGCCACACCTTAATGTTACTTAACTCGTCCCTGTCTAAATTAGTCAACTGTAGCTTACAGTTTCCAAGGGCTATCCGTTAAACATATGTTAACCACTTGATAAGGCTTAAAGGATATGTTTCTAATTTTCAAATATAAACTTTCCTTCCCCAGAATAATCGAGAACCAAGGGTTCAGATGAAGCAGGGTCTGTCATTTTGTTTGGGTTTTATATCACTCACCAGTCCTTCATAACACATCATCACATGCAGCAGTGTAAAAATCAAGACTCTTAAGATAGAAGCTACTCTATCACTCTTGGTGTCTGAAGATTGTTAGTGTCCTATATATATCCATATCTATATATGTGTGTATGTCTATATATGTGTGTGTATGTGTACATATATATATATATACACACACCTATCTCACTGAGACCATATGTCTCACATCTCCTAGTTCTGAAAATGTGTAAAGACTGTTAAGTTAAAGCTTGCAAAACTGTGTTTACTTTTAAATATACTTTAAAATAACTTAAATACTGTATGATTTATCAGGCCCCATTCATGTGTTTTCCTGATACTTCAGCTAGCCTTCTGGGAGACCAAGCATCTTGAGGGAGTCGCTGGTGAATGGTTTGTATTTTCAATCAGAGCATCCGCCAGGGCGTTCATCTGACGCAGACTGAGTCTCTAGGGGTATGTTTGGGTCAATGAGAAAGCGTTTGGATATTTTAAGTCGGATTCTTTCATGATGTTCAGTGTCTTTTTACTGAGAAATTATAGTGTGATGGTATCCATTGCTTCTGTATCTTCTGCTGTATGTCTTCTCCATGTTTACGTAATAGCATAGTTTAAGTGATCTCAGCTGATTAGTGAGTCTCAAGCTAAAGAAGACACTGCATAATTGATAGCAAATTATGTGCTACAGAAACAATTTAAAATACCCTGAAAATTGGCAAAAAAGTTATTCATAATGCCTTCTTAATGGTGGCATCCTTTCTACTGCTTCCAAAGCTACTGAGAGCTGGAGCCCGTACTCTGCAGTGTGAGCGTCGCAGCTGCCTGTTCCAGGGTGCAGCTTTACTGACTTTAAGTAATTCCAGCTATACGTCTGACCATAAAATAGTTAAATTTTTCAGAACTTCTAAAAATGAGAAGAAACCCTTTTTAAAAGATTGTAACTTGCCTCATGTTTTTTTCTTTTAAACAATGTTGTACAACTGTGGAGCTGCCAAAAAGAAGAATTAGAGTGTGTTAGAGATGAAGAACTGAAACGTTTATGAAGTGGTAAGTGAAAAAGCTCTGCAAATTGAGATTTTTTTTTTTGAGCTTTACAACTTTTTTCTAGTAACGTTACCTGGTCAGGATCCTGTGCCATCGGTATGCCCAGTCCCGTCATTTGTGTATATGTTGATTGGTATCTAATCTCCGAGGCTGTAGACTGCAGAGGGGCTGTTCACCAGCTTGGTGAATTATGTTATCTGTGACCCATTTGTTGCAGTTACAAGTAACTTCTAGGTTAGCTGAGGTATATTTGCTGCCTTCCACTTTCACTCAATTCACCCCGCGCTTGAATATTCATTCCTAGGCATTCGCGCCAGTGTTGTATTTAATAGTGGTCTTGTGTTAAAGCCATCTGCTGTACTTTGCTTGTTTTATTACCAGAGTAGTAATTATAGATCCTGTTCTCCTCCTCACTCTGATACCTTTAGTTACAACAGACTTTCAGCTCTGTCTCTTGGCTGACTGTTCTGCTGAAGAACATTATAAATGGCTCGTAATATGTTCAGGTTATTTGGCTCCCATAAATAGTACTAGGAAAATATGTCATTTATGACCTGCTGCTGCTATCAGTAAACCTGTGCCTGTTAGGCCTTTGGAATTGCATTTTCTTAAGATTTATTTTTAAAAAAGAAGAGTAGGAACTAAAAAAAGTATCCCAATTTACTTAGCGTTTGTTGTAAATAGCATGAGTCTGAGATTATGCCCATTTCTGTATTGGATGGGATGCTATTTCATCAGCATCACTTCCTGGATATGCCACGAAGAGGCTGTAAAGTGTCATACAAATACAAAATTGTGGGGTCTCAGGATAGAGAAGAGTATAAAATATGTGCTGCCATGAGCGCTACTGTTCAATGCCTGTAGAAATTCAGGGGTTGGTCTTGGCTATGCTGTGACAATCTGCCAGGCAAACACTTGAAATATTCCTTCAAGTTAGAGGCTGCATTTCAGAATTTAAGGCAGTTATACTGCCTCTTCCATACTCCCTTTAGTGTGATGAACTCACAGCAAGAGAGTATTGTACCTGTATAACGCAGTGGGAAAAACTTGGATCTGCGTTTGTGGGACATCGTGTTCCCTCTCAAATTCCCCGAAGAGGTCCTCTAACTGCATCCTCGCGTGAACTCTTGGCAATTAACATAGAGGCTGCTCAATACGAAATTTAACCTTTAAAATGCTCCTTTAAATAATAAATAGCTATCAAAGTTTTAAAATGTAGTTATTGCTGTGGACATAGAGTTTCTAAAATATTTAAAATCATTATGTTTCTTGATATTGCAGGGCCTAGGAGAGGGAAGCAGCA